CCTCCTTCCCCGGCAGAGCATCTGGTGGATTCGAACCGTTCGCCTCTGGGATTGTAGTTGCAGCTCCTTGCCACTAGGCCACCAGAGCTCCCCTGTTTGCTGTAATTTTTATGGAAGCGAATCACTAGCCCTGTCTTCTGTGGAGCTACTGGGTGAGGATGAACCACGAACCTTTTGGTTAGTAACAAGTATTTGCTCATTGCTCCATTAGGGCTCCTCAGTTTCTACTTAGTGGAATGGAAAAAAAAATTTGAAAATATAGCAGTGGTAATTGCACAGCATGACTGCATAATGTCAGTGAACTATACACCTAAAAGTAGTTTATATGGCAAATATTTTATATATTTTATTACAATTTTTTTTAAAAAAGTGAGAGGAGCTTGATCAAGGAAAGCTATAAAGAGCCATGCTTTGTTGGGACTCAGCAAGACTCAAACGTCTGTAAAAAGATAAAATATGTTCTCCGCTAAATCAGTCAGTAAGTAATCCACATTTTCCAGCTTGGTCTGATTGCACTAAGCCCATGTCCGCCACATCATCCAGCGGAATAAGAACTCACTCAGGGCTCACCCTCAGACCTGGGGACCCGAGCAATGACAGAAAAAAGAGATGTAGACACACACACTCAGCTTCTCACCTGAACCAGGATGAGTTTCCGTTCCAAGGGTTTCCCATCTGGCCATTCTTCCCCAAAGCATAAGTAGATCTCAAATGGCGGCTGTTTATCTATCTGTCCTTTCTGGTGGGCAGCAATGAGATCTGCAGAAGGTGAAGAAGCAAGTTGTGTGTACTGGATCACTCCAATGCCATCTTTTATGCTGGTCTATACGGTAAACACTAGTCACAGGTATCTAGTTAAATTCATTAACATTTCATAGTTGCATAGTCACATCAGTCACAGAGGCTGTTTTTTTTTGGACATCATTGACTTAAAGCCACTTTAAGAGTTCAAATCATAAAGGAAAATGTACATCTTATGCCCTCTCTAACAATGTCTGCTTGAATTCATTACTCAGATACTTCCCTAAAAGAAAAGAGAATATCACTTGCTGAATATGACAACTAGGGTTAATTTCCAAAGTCTAGGATAAGGTAGTTATGAGATTTTTCTCATCTGCCACTGGAGGAATCAATGTCCACCTAATAAAAAGTCTTTCAATTACCTAGCTTTGCAGGTACTCCCTTCTTCACTGTCCAAGACACCGGCATTTTAAAACCAAGATTACCTTTTGGTTTGTTGTTTGTTTTTTTGTGTTGTTGTGGGGTGTTTTTTTTAAAAAACAAAACAAAACAAAAAAACCCAAACAAACCACAAACCCGAAGCTTTTACCAGGAAAAAAGAAGAGAAAGGAAAAAGAGGAGGAAGCAGAAACAAAGACGGAAGGAGGAAGATGTACTCCTAGGGATTAAGTCCCATCAACAATCTGCTAGAAGAGAGACTCACCACTAAGGAATGTTTCCAGGCAAAATAGCTTGACCTTCTTTTGTCTTTCAATAAGGTTGGGGGCAACAAGTGATGGAGCACACGGCCCAGACCAGTACACCTTGCACTGGCACAGCCTGATGGCATAAATAGCATGGCCGCTGACCTCCAGAATCAGTCCTCTGTCCATGACATCCAGCAGCTTGCTGGTAAAAAGCTTCTGCTTCTCATTGGTGATATGCTCAGGACCTGGGAACTTGACCTGTTCCAGGCTGACAGGACCAAAGAGCTCCTCCTGGTCAGGCATGGGGCCTAGGTCCCCATAGAAAAGCCGGCAGCCCTGGGGGTTGCTCACGGTCATGGTCTGCCCATATTCCTTCCCACGATACTGAAATTTGATGTCCAGGTCAGTCACTGCAAGGTAAGGGAAGACTGTAAGAGTTCTGCTTTATGGCTCTGCCTGTTTATTGCCAAGACTCATGCCAGTTCATTACAATTGAACTACCTTTCCACCCACTGTCAGGAAGGCCACTGTCATAGCTGTCCTTCCTGTAATATACAGAGACATCAAAATATCCCTGGAATAGTCACTTAGAGTGCTGCCTGCCCTAAAGCAAACAGTTCAAGGTCCATTTATACTATCTCTACTCAATTGTCACACCCTAAGCTAAAATTTCACCAAGCAAAGTGATGTGGCCTGGTTTTCCCGCTTCATACTGTCTAAATCTTCACATGCGTGAGCCCTGAAAGCAGCTCAAATGTAAGATGTACTGTTTATATCTCATTTTGTGCTCAATGTTTAAACAAATCAGAGAAAGGAAAAGAAGTACAAATTCATCTTTGTAAAAAAGACCCACATAAGTATATACTGTATCTCTAGCCTAATAATATGCAATAAAAGAAAAAGTTCAAAGCAAAGAAAATCTTCACTCAACAAGCCTCTATTGAAACCTATAGTTCGTATCAAAGCTACTTAGCTTTTTGGCCAAAACATTAGGTTTTCAAATTTTAGAAATGGAGACTAGAGTAATAAGATTGATTCTTCATTGGGCCAAACTTGTACCCAATTCAGAAAGAGATTTTTTTTTAGCCCTGGGTTCTAATGCCGCTCAAATTTAAAGCTTCCTTAGCCAAATCTCTGGCCATTAACCTCACAACAGGACAATTAGCCTTGGCTCCAAATCTCCTATTCATACTGATAAACTCAGGCTTTCTGCCCACTGAAGACGTGAGTAACCTGGAGCTATAACCAATCAGAATATCCTCAGGGGCAAGCAGGCATGACCTGAGGTTACTTGAGTCCTCCCATCAGCCAACCAGGAGCCAGGCACACAGTTATTCTAGACATGGCAAAGAAAAGAAGGCAGAATGCAGACAGGAAAGATATCCTACTTAGGTAAAGAGCCAGCAGGAACGATCAGGGCTGACTTACTTGGGAGAGAGCTGATCCATAGCTCTGGAGAGCTGTAGAAGGGTTGTATAGGCGCCTGGGGTATTTCCATCTCCAGAGGCTCCGTTTTGGGCCACACTGCTTCCGGGCTGCAGTTGCCCACGCTACAGTTGCCTACACTGGCCGGTGCCATTGGAGAACCTAGAAGAGGAGGATGCATGCAGGTGAGTCCAGCAGGCACAAGACAGCTCGAGGCTTTAAGAACTAACAAAGTCCACAAACAAGAGTCAAGCACTAGACCATGACTCAGTGGTCATTCCCCAGCTTATCAAGGATCCCCACAGCTCATACCAGAAGAAGTAAGATTCCCCTATTCCTGCTTCCCTTCCAAATCATATCAGTTCTCCCACAGACACAGTCCTGCAAACATGTCTTCAGTGAAGATGAGTAGATAGACAAGTGTGTTATCCCTAGCTGCTCTATCAGAATGACTTGAGTAAGAGGTTCCCACTTGCAAAGTGTGCCCCTACCTGTCCAAAAAAAAAAAAAAAGATAACTACTGTAAAATCAACTGAATTAGGTGTTTGGCTTTGAGTAAACGTTAATGTATAAAAACTCTATTGTTGTTATGTATCATCGAGATGGAACTGACCCACAGCTGACCTTCCCACAGGTTTTCAGAGATAGAAAATTGCTAGGGAAGTGACTGCCCATCTTTCTTATGTGGAGCTGCTGATGGATTCAAACTGCGTGCCTCTCGTTTGGCAGCGCAATTCCTTACCACTAAGCTACCAGAGCAAATAAATACTTTCACATGCATCTACAATGCTCAAGAACCTAGAAAGATGTGTCTCTTTTATAGAAGGGTGAAAGGCTGAAGAACACAATGGATAGGAATCCTCTTAAATGAACTTTGTTCTTGTACCAATATGGATTTTCAGTCCTGTAAAAGTATTATTTATTCAAAATTACCTAATCCATGTTTTTAAAAATAAAGATAAATCCATCCTATATCCCTGCTATTATCAGAGTTGATTCCCTCCAAAGTCAAACGATTTCTGATCCTAGCCTCACCTTTTGGGCTTATATTCTTCAACAATTCTTTCTCTGCCCCAGCTCTGATATCATAGAGGTTAATATTTCTTTGACCCTTTGTGTATGTTGTTGTTGTTGTTGTTGCAATTGTGTATTGGGCCAGTTAAATCCATGTAACCCATTTTGCTTTGTTGCTTTTAATAGGAATTCTTTTCCTAAAAGGAATCAAGGCAGCCCATAAAAAGAGGACACCAAATAACCAGTTTATTTACTACTGTATGATGATAAAGAGGCAGTCAGGGTCCGGAAGCAAACTACATCCGTTTAGGAGGGAAAAATAAAAGAATGAGCCTGAGAAAGGATTCCCAGTGTCCATCTGTCCAAGTAATAGAACTTCATCAAGTGGGAATGTGGCATGTGATAATATTGGCCTGAAAGAAATCCTTCTTTTCTCATCACTTAGTGCAAAAATAATAAATGTCAGGATAAGTGAATGAGGACAAGTGGATAGACAATAGTCACTTTCTGATTCTTAAAGCTAGGGGCATTATCGAGAGTTGTTGTTCTTAGCTGTCATCGAGTTGACTATGACTCATAGTGACCCTATGAATGACAGATCTGAACCTTGCCTGTCCTTTGCCATCTCCATCCTCCCTGATATACCTGAGCCCACTGTTAGTCCCTATGTCAATCCACCTTGTTGAAAGTTTCCGCTGACCTCATACCTTCCCAGAATGGCGTCTTTTTCCAAGGACTGGCCCCTCCTAATTACATGCCCAAAGTATATGAGATGAGGTTTGACCATCCTTGTCTCTAAGAAGCACCAGGCTTGTAATTCTCCAAGATGTGCCTGTTCTTTTGGAAGTCCATGGCATATTCAGTACTCTTCTCCAACATTATAACTCAGAGTCATCAATTCTTCTTTTGTCACCTCGAGTGGAGTATCCTAAACTATGTCTGGTGGTGTGACCTAAAATCACTTCCACAGGATCAATCTTGATTTGCCAAGTTTTCTACGTGGTACAATTAGATAGTACTAGAAAGGCAGAAGAAAAAGTGTTCAACTGAATACATGTCACCTAAGAGCATTTAAGTGAACAGTTGAGCTGAAGAAACTGCAGAAGAGGTAGCCAACGTGCGTCCCAAACTCCTCAGAATGTACAATGAGAGATTCACTATGTATTCTCTCACAACCTCTCAATTCATTTTTTTCCCCCCAGGAAGCATACTTTTAAAAGTTCATTTAAAAAAAGAGAAAATTTTTTACAGGAAAAAGAGCCTAGAATTAGCAATTGTAATTTCCCAAAATACAATCTAAGTAGAGTGAACCTAAAATTTATATCAAGGGAAATAAATGCTAGAATTTTCTGACAATTTGTGAAAAATTGTGCCTGCGCTTAGTCAAGAAGAAATAGGCAACATCTAAGAGAGTGGATACGTTTGTAATTAGGTCTGAGAATGAACTTTTTTTTATTTTTTTTATTTTTGTGTGGGTGTACCATCAAATCAGATCTGACTGGTACAGGAGGAGATTGTCCCTCCTTCCCTGGCAGAGCATCTGGTGGATTCAAACTGTGTGCCTCTGGGATTGTAGTTGCAGCTCCTTGCCACTAGGCCACCAGAGCTCCCCCGAGAATGAACTCTTAATTTTGTATTTCCTTGTATAGCATATAAGATATCAGATATAAGAAAATTCTTTCTATGGCTACAGCCCACCCCACTGAACCACTGTCACAGGGCTCTCTTGTGCATGACTCCTGTTTGCTAACAGACCAGCATCCAGGCCACAGCGCCTGGTCACTTTCCCTTCACAGTGTGACTGAGAGGTTCCACAGCAAGCTCCCTTTAACATCCTCTTCATTCCTGCATGCCCCTCACCAGCCACACTCACCATTAATGTTCAGGAACGGGAAAGTATCCTGGATGGGAATGTGGTGCTGTGACTGATCTAGCTCATCTTCCTCATCATCTTCATCTACATCATTATCCTTCTCATCCCACGGAGCAGATCCTGTGGAACCTACCCAGAAAGTAAAACGTAAAGCCCACAGATGAACTGTGCAGGGTGAACAGCAATCCCTGCAGCTGAGTCACCCCACGAGTTAGGGACTGCGAACGCTGAAACTCCTTCAATTTCAAGGTGGTCCTCAAGTCTCCAGCTTGAAGAGTGGGTGAACCAAGTGTGCTAACCTTTGGCTCCAGATAATCCTACAGAGTCCCAAGTGTAAGCTTTCTTCCCCAGTCCTATCCGGGAGCCGCTGACCCCACTGCATTGCAGCATTCTTCTTGCCTTTGCTAACTCTCCTCCTCACACCAGCATCCCATTTTGTTCTGATTTTAACTTTTTTTAAACCAGCTTCCTTTGTAAGGACTTAAGGTCACCAACCTCTCATCCTTTGTACGTTTGACGTGAGGAACAAGTCCTCATTTCATGGTCTCACTGGATTCACTAGAGACCAGTTCTAATTATCTAAATTATTATTTCGTTGGAACTTGTTGAGTAATGGATATGTATAAGAATCAGATCACATTCTCTTAGCAACAATAGCCTCTACAATGAAACTACTGTACACGTACCATTTACAAAGAACTTAATAGATTTTACATGTCATGTCAGCTGATTTTTACAAGAGCCAATGAAGCAAAGATAACTAACTCATTGCTGTCAACGTGTTGGGTTTTTGGGGGTTTTTGTTTGGTTGGTTTTGGGAATTTTTATTTTAATAAACGTTTACAGAGACTTTCTATTTCCATTCATTCATTGTTGCACTTTTCTCCTTGCCTACCCCTAGCCCCAGTTCGCTTTTCCCTTTGAAAAGTAAAAAAAAAAAAAAAAAAAAAATCTTTCATTGTTATACAGCCCCTCCCTCGAGTCCACTCCACTATGCAGCTTTCACTCTGGACTCTTGTCATGACAATAATACCTAATCATTATATTCCTCCTAAACAATTCTTTCCCTCATCTATTTCAATGCAGTCAGTATACATTATTTCCTCTCAGACCCGATGTCAGTCCCACTTTACAATGGTGGCACTATGTAGTATTTGTCCTTTTGTGACTGAGATATTTCACTCAGCATAATGTCCTCCAGGGTTACTCATTTTGAACAATATTGCATGAGTTCCTTGTTTTTCAATGCAGCGTAGTATTCTATCGTGTGGATGAATATACCAGAGCTTCTCTATCCATTCATTTGTTGATGGGCACTTAGGTTGTTTCCAACTCTTTGCTATTGTGAACAAAGCTGCAATAAACATGGGTGTGCATATATCTGCTTGGGTGGCAGTTATGGTTTCTTTATGGTAAATTCCCAGTAGTGGAATTGCAGGGTCAAATGGTATTTCTATTTCCAACTTTTTGAGAAAGTGCCATACCGCCTTCCATAATGGTTGCACCACATTGCTGTCAAGTTAGTCAACTTATAAGTTATAACTTACAAGTGACTCATAGTTGACTCTCCGGTGAGTTGTCAGAGGCTATAAATCATGGGAGGAGACTGTCCATCTTTATCCCGTGTAGCAGCTGATGGATTCAAACCACTTGCCTTTGAGTTGGAAGCACAACTCCTTACCCACTAGGCCATCAGAATGCCTTTGAATTAGGTAGGAATAAAATGAGATAATATTTAAAGCTTAAGAAAATGAGGCTCAAGAAATCAAGCAACCTAATTCATTATCTCTCACACAAATAGTAAAGTGGTAAGATTCTGGTTTAGAATTCAAATCTTCCAGGTCATAATTTCTCCCCCTAAACAATCTGGAATGAGCTCTGGTGGCTTAGTGGCAAGGAGCTGCACTGTCAACCCAAAAATACAGTGTTCGAATTCATCAGCTGCTCCATGGTAGAAAGATAGCCCATCCCTTCCATGTGATATCCAAGGGAGGGCCTATTCTTGCATTCTACTTCTTCTCTAGTTTCTGATGCCTGATGCAATCAAGCAAATAAACCATTGCTCTGAGTGAGCAAGATTTTATTGTGTTTACATATATAGCTCTCTGGTTCCTTCTCAGGGAAAAGCTTTGCTACAATAAAAGTCTCAAACTTAGTTGGTCACACTCTTTGGCAGAGAGTTGATGATCTCTTTAGGTATGACGATCTCTTTAAAATGTCATGCCCAGACTAGGCTGCCAAAGTGCCCACCTTCACCCCAGCAGCTGGGGCCTTACCTGGGTTAATGATTGAGCCCTGGGGCTGAGGGATGTCACACACTTGATATATCTTCACTGGGTTCATAGGCACCTCTTTGGTGCCATCGTACATCAAGTTGAATTCCCTGCTCTTGTTGAGAGCACAGCGGAGCTGGGCCTTCCATTTAGCTGGGTCAGGGTCATCCACCCCTTCCTGGTACTTTCCTGTCTCCACAGCCCAGGCCTGAAGAATAAAAAACCACAGTGAGTGCCTGCTATTGCCCAGAACCACCGCACAATGTGTGCCCACTCACACTCACACACACACACACACACACACACACACACACACTCGTGTCTGTCTGCCCCACCACCCCAAACCAAATCACTGCCCTTAGGATTAGTGAAGGCAGGGCCTGCGGGAAATTAAGCCATGAGCAAACAATCTTTTAAAAAGACGGCTTCTATCTAAAGCATTCATACCAGAACCTGTCAGACTACAGTGTTGTCATGAAAGGCTAAAAATAAAGAAAAGCCTGGAAAGATAGGGACCAAAATGTTAATGATAACTATGGGTATCAGGATTTCAGGTAATTCTGGGGAGCTTATTTGATTTTTGTTTAAATTACTTATATAGTAAGAAATCAAGACAAAGGAAGATGGCAAGTTTGGTCTTGCTGTTCCTGGCTCTACAGTCTTCTGATGTATAAACAAAGGGAAATAGCAATCTGGGGCTTTAATACTCTTTATGAGGGCAGGTAGCTGGAATTAGTCTGTCCCACTGACAAAGGCTCTCAAATCTAATAAGCCCACATTTTCTACTTTCGCCTATTTCTTCAAACACCACCACCCCCCCCACCCCCACCCCCCACACACACACTGCTTTTAAATACTCTGCTTACAACCACAGCTGTGGCCAGTGAGTGGCGTGACCTAAAACCACTTTGACTTCTTTGATTTCCAAATATAGGAACATACAGCGCTTTCTTTAATAAGGGGGTCAATGTAGTTTCTGCAAAGTCAACCCAGCTCAACTTATCGCCATCGAATCAAAACCGGAACAAACTCATATCTGATCCTCCAGTGAGGTTTTTGAAGCTACACAGGAGAAGAATGTTCATCTGTCTCCTGTGGAACAGCTAGTAGATTCAAACTGACCACCTTCAAGTTGAGAGTGCAACTCATTATCCAATAAGTCACTAGAACTCCATCTCTCCATAAAAAAGGAAAGAAAAAAAACAAAACACCAAAACCTTGTGACTTGCACCATCCTTAGCGCCACTGTAGAAGTAAAAAACAGAACCCCACTTCCAAGTCCCAACACATATCTAAGTTTCTGCTGATGATATATTCATGCTCCCAATTGCTAGTACAATTTCCAGATCTCCAGGAATGGTCATCTACTGTCTCAAATGCCTCAGCTTTTAAACATGACATGATAGCCCTCACAGAGCCAGGTCCCACAGCAAAACAGTTCCCACTGTCCAGCGGGGTGGTCAGTGGGAATAGCAGGTGGATTTGAACCATATACCTTTGCATTGGCAACACAATTCTTTACTGTGAAGCCACAAGACCTCCTTGCTACAGGAATTAAGACCTACGAATCCTCCTCAGCCACTCACTGTGGAGCTTCACAGTGAGGAGAAAAGCTCTTCTATTAACTAATATAAGTGCCTCCTGTGTTTGTTCAGATTCATTTCCTCTTCCTCTTTCCTCAGATGTGGGCTTTTCTAGTTGTTTTGTGGTATGGAATGAAGAGATCTGAAAAGTTGGGCTGCCCCAGGAGGCCCAACAGGCTCTAGGGGGCCTGACTGCTGCTCCATTCCAGCTTGACGCCCCTCAAGGGATTTTTAACTTCCCTGTTCCCCAGGCACTTGGTGCATCTCTGATTACTTGGGTACCTGGCTAGTGCCTCCTTCCATTTTTCCCTTCCTTTGATCCGGTCCTCATCTGGCCATCTCAGGCTGCGCAGAATTTGGCACAAGTGTACAAATATCTGTGGCTCCCTAATGCCCTGCCCCTCCTCGGAAAGCAGCCAGACAGCCAGAGCCGCTGCTCCAGCCTTCCTGCTCCCCCCCCCCCCACCCCGAGTCCACCCAGAGGGAAATGAAGACCTAAACTTAATGCAGCAGAAGCTGATGTCTTTGATGGCTGAAACTTGCAATTGAGAACAGGCCTCTAATGTAGCACATGACAGTAATGATGAGTAAGAAACATTACTCTGTCCAAAGCCCTTAAAAAAATTTTTTTTTTATTTTATTATGTTTCTGTGTGTGTACCATCAAATTCGATCCGACTGGTACAGGAGGAGATTGTCCCTCCTTCTCCAGCTGAGAATCTGGTGGATGCTCACCTCAGGGATTGCAGTGCATCCAAAGCCCTTTTGACTCTTGCTTCTGAGAGATCCTGGTCACTGTGTGGGTCTCTAGCTCTCTTTCCAAAATGCAAATAAAGTTTACAGTACTTTAAAAATCTCTTCTTAAATACCATTCTACGTGATTCTCACAATAATCCTTTGAGTGAACAAGACGGGTTTTCTTTTCCAGACCGGAAAGCTGATGCCCAGAGAGGTTTAATGACTGTGTCAAGATTACAAATGCAGCTGCTGGTAGGAAGACTGGACTCCAGGTCTTGTAATTTCTGGTCAAAAGGGACAGTGGGTACAGATAAACCTCGATTCAAATCTTGACTCTACCACTTAGTTCTTGATATTGTTAGGTGCTGTCAAGTCGCATAGAACTCATAATGACCTCATGAACAACAGATGTGAACCATGTCCTATCCTGATCCGTCCTTATCATCCTCAACACACTTGAGCCCATTGCTGCAGTCACTCTCTATCAGTTCATCTCACTGACAGCCATCCTCTCTTTCTCTGACCCTCGACCTGTCCAATCATGATGTCCCTTTCCAAGGAATAGCCAGCCTCTCCTAACAACAGGGCCAAAGTATATGAGATAATGTTTCACCATCCTTGCCTCTAAATAGCATTCTAGGTGCACCTTCTCCAAGATGAGTCTGTTTGTTTTCCTGGCAGTCCGTTCTCCTCTCCAACACCACAACTCAAAACCATCAATTCTTTTTCTGTCATCCTTACTCATTGTTCAGCTCTCAGATGCATAGCAGGTGATTGGAAAAACCATGGCTTGAATCAGGCACCCCTTGGTCTTTAAAGTGACATCAGTTCTCTTACTAGTTTTGCAATTTTGGCAAGTTAATTTAGGGCTCTGGAGTCTCAGCCCCTTGGAGACTTTACAAATGAGGGTAAGATCTCCCTTCCGCTTCCAAGGTTATCACAAGAATTAAATGATACAATAGATATAGGGTGCACAAAGGGAGCTCATTTAATGTCGGTGCCCACCTACATACCCCACTAGGATCAGGTTCAGATCTGTCATTCATAGTGTTGTTAGGAGTGGAAGTTGACTCAATGGCACCTAACAATGACAACATATATCCCACTACTAGAGCTTGAGATCTGTGGAAGTACCTACACTCTTCTCCTAGCTTCCCCAGGCCCTCCCTGCCTTCATTCTGCATTCAGATGCACAGATACAAATATCACAAAGCTGCCTCTCCACAGCCAGCCTTCCTTTATGCAGTCAGCACATAGATGTTTTCAGAAGCAAGCCTCTTCCTCCAAGGCCTGCCACTCCCACACACTAACAATAAGACCCCAGCAGAAGGCCAGCTGGGCAAGAAAAGGGTTTTAGGTACACAGGCAGGCCTATCTCTTTCCCAGTGCCAACCCCAATAATTGAATATAGTTAACAGATATTTTCTTTTATCGTTTTTACAGATTTATTATCTGCATTAAAAGCACTCATTTACTTTTTTAAAAATTTATTTAAATTTATTATTAACTTCAGTAGAAATTTACAGACTTTGGATTTCCATTCATTCATTGTTGCACTTTTCTCCCCTCCCAACCCTCCCCCCAGTACACGACCCTCTTGAAAAAGTAAAAGAAAAATTCTTTCATTGTTTTACAAACCCTCCCCCAGGTCCACTCCACCATGTAGCCTTCGCTCTAGACTCCTGTCATGACAAAAAATACCTAATCAAATATCCCTTTTAAACAGTTTTCTCCCTCATCTGTTTCAATGCAGTGTACATTGTTGAACCCATCTTTCTCAGTCTCTCCCCAACCCCAAGGTCAGTCCTGTTTTACAACAGTGGCACCATGCAGTATTTGTCCTTTTGTGACTGAGATACTTCACTTAGCATAATGTCCTCCAGAGTCACCCATTTTGAATAATATTGCATGAGTTCCTTGTTTTTCAATGCAGCATAGTATTCCATTGTGTGAATATACCACAGCTTCTCTATCCATTCATTTTTTGATGGGCATTTATGTTGTTTCCAATTCCTTGCTATTGTGAACAAAGCCATGATAAACATGGGTGAGCATATATCTGCTTGGATGGCTGTTATGGTCTCTTTAGGGTATATTCCCAGTAGTGGAATTGCTGGGTCAAATGGTATCTTCTATTTGCAAGTTTTTGAGAAAGCACCACTCCACCTTCCACAGTGGATGCACCATTTTACACTCCCACCAACAGTAAATAAGGGTTCCAGGCTCTCCACAACCTCGCCAGCATTTGTTGCTTGCTGTTCTGTTAAATTTTGTTATTCTGACTGGGGTGAGATGATATCTCATAGTTGTCTTGATTTGCATCTCTCTTAGAGCTAGGGATTTTGAACATCTCTTCATGTGCTTGTTGGCCATCTGAATGTCTTCTTTGGTGAAGTGTCTGTTCATATCCTGTGCCCATTTTTCGATTGGATTATTTACCTTTATCTTGTTGTGGTGCTCAAGTATTTTATAAATTCTAGATATAAGTCCCTTATCTGACATGTCGTTGCCAAATACTTTTTCCCAATCTGTGGCTTATTACTTTTTTTCCTAAGCACATTTTCTTTTTGTCTAAGTACTCTCAGTCCAGTTTTCTCTTTTCTATACCTAACATAACTGAGTTGGTGGAAACATTTCAAACTATTGAGCCCTAAGCCTGTCCTTTCTGGATCCAGCCTCAGTAAGAACCTGAGATATCAATCTTGAGAGGCCTAAGGCGGGTGACTGAATTTACTTCTTTTTGTATTTATTTACTTCTGACATTCAACTTGTAAATTATGAAAGAAAAACAAGTAAATTACAAGAGCAACACCCCTCCAAATCTTGGGGGTGCAGGAAGTAAAGCTATTCATGACAGAAGATAGACTGTCAGAGAGAAGTTGGTCTGAAACAGAGGAACAGCCTCCAGAGACGTGCACCACAACCACCTCCTGTCAGCCACCTTCTCAGTGACTTCTGTCTTCAGTCAAGCTAGGGTTTTCCTTAAACTTGAGAAAATATCACATGATCAAAATTTGTCTTTAGTCAAATAAGATTTCATATCAACTTAAAAAAAGATTCACTGCTGTCATGTGAGAACCAACTCACAGCTGACGTTCTATTGGGTTTCAAAGGCTGTAAACTTCACAGAAGAAGATTTCTCATCTTTGAGGAGCCCACAGTGGAGTTGATCCACCAGAGGTATGGCCTTTGGGTAAGTAGAAAACTCTCTACAGACTAGGTCACCAGAGTTCCCTTTCTTTCTACTGAAGAAAACACTAATAATCTTAAATCTTCTGTCACTAAATCACAGTTACTTTTTAGCATAGGTTATAGATCTATGCAAAAATGTGTTAACATTAAAATAAAAACTTTTCTATAGTCCTCTACATTATCCTACAAGCTCCTTCAGAAGGATACTAACAGTCAATACAGTTTAGTCCTGGTCTCAATAGTTGTTCCTCTCTTTATAGTGAGGGTGTTAAAACTTTCTTAAAGAGACCAAGAATCTCTCTTTATTGCAAGGATGCTAAGTGAACAGACAGGAGATAGCTTTTGAAATAACCATATTTATGCAATCTTAGAACAAACAGTTCGTCCTAGAGAAGGTAAGGCTAGGCTGCTCCTGGGAGGCAAGGATTCTGAGGCTTCATCTGACATGCTTTGGGCATGCTGCAAGGAGGGATTGTTCCTTGGAGAGGGGCACCATGCTTGGAAGGATGGAAGAACAGAGAAAGAGAGGGAGACCAAGGATGAGATGGATTAATACAGTGACTGAGATAATGAGAGTAGGTGTCAGAGACAGTAAAGTTGGCACAGGATAGAGCAGGTTTCAGGGCTGTTGTACATATGGTCGCTATGAGTCACAAGTGACTCGTTGGCACATAACAATAACAACAGGCATCTCTACCTACCTCAGACCCCATGGGATATATGTCAAGTCCTTTCAGCCAGTGATAAGGGAGAAAGCATTTTAAACATTATAGACATGTCCCAGCAAGAGAAGGCCTAGGCTGCTAAGGTTAGACACCTCATCATAAACATTCTCTCTGTTTCAAAAGAGTTTGAAGTCAAGTGTATTCTCCATGCCAAAACAGAAAATAAAACCAATCACAACGAAAACAAACACCTGAAAGAACTAGAAGAAATTCCACGTCAGATGATAAAAGTTCTTTACCTTAAAAATGGTGTTCTCTTCCTCTTGTTGGGGACTGTGCCGAGTAGCATGTTTCCAGGGAATCTGGAAGCGTTTGCTGTCCCTGTGTAGCCAGATGAGCCCGGGATACAGGCCACTGTCCACCTGAGCCACTAGCCAGGGCTTCAACCGGACTCTACGGGGGTGGAGGGCCATGATCTGGGGGGTGGGGAGGAACGAGGAGAATGAGAGAATTAGGCCAGTCACTGGGAACTTTTCCCAGCCGCTGTTCCCCGTATGATAGAGCTACAGTTTCATTAGATTACAGCAAAGAAACTAAATATGGGAACAAACTGTGCCAAGTGGGAAAGAAAAGAGGTTAAAAGGTTCTTTTGATTCGTATTCCAAAGCCATTTATACTTCATGCTCTAGCCAAGCCAGACTTATCATGCTAGAAGATCACATTTCTTCTGTTTAAATCCTGAAGCAGAAAAACATGATGTCATTCCTCCTGGAACACAGTCTTTCCTAACGACTTTAGAAAAGAAGGGAAGTTGTTCTTTTGAACCTTAGCTTAGGAGATTAAAGGGGAGAGGGGGAATATGGAAATAGTAAACATATGAGCAAGAAGTGGTAGAAGCACCCTCTCTTTTTAATAAAGACAATTGAAGGTAAATGGGAATATTTTGGGTAAAAATGACAGTCAACACAAAAGACGGAGGTAGGTTAGGAGCAGATAGTTCTAAGTACTCACTCACAGGACCAGAAGGCAATGTGTCCACCACCAGCTGATGGAGCTCAAGTGTGGGCCTCGGGCTGGCTTCCCCTTCCCCTGGCCACCCAGAGATTCTGTACCTAGGAAAAAAAAAGGGTTTTGGTTGGTTAGCCACAAGGCAATTCCGTGTTTGGTAAAAAGGTTTAGAAAGTTTGGAGACAAAGACTCTGAGATCACTTCTCTGCAAGAGAACAGGGCAAAGCTCAGACCTGGCAATTCCTAACCCAGAATAGTCGGGTCATGAGACAAGCCCTGCTCTGCTAAGACAACCTTCTCACTTCAGTTTGTTTATCTCCTCTCATGAGGCTGGAGCGAATGGATTGATTGCCAGAGTCAGCCTGGGTAAAGTCTGCAACCGAGTCTCATAAAATACATAGACATAGAAGATAACACGCAGCTGCAACATTCACAGCAGGAAACAAAAGGCCTGCCCATGATGGGCCCCTGAAAGAAAAACTACACTACACTAAACTAAACTACACTACAGAACCGTGAGGAGGCTGCAGGACCTTTTCATCCACTGTGTTTTGTTCCACTGTCCATAGCTGGCATCTAATGACAGGGAACTGTTTAAAGAGGGCTGGTGGTACAATGTTTAAGCATTCGGGTGCTAAGAGAGAGTTTGGCCATTCAAACCCAGCAGGCACTCCACAAGAGAAAAATGAGGGTTAGGGTACAGGATTAGAGTACTGTGGGCAGTTCCACTCTGTTCTACGGGGTCTCTTTGGGTTGGAATGCAGTGAAGATACTCCAACAACAGAGAATTGTTTACTGGGCTACTGTGTATATATACTTTTTGTTTTGCTTTTATTTGATGTAAGAAAGAAAGAGGTGCCTAGAAAAACAAAATTAATTTATGAAACAAGCATCTGTCAATCGGTTCAACTCGACTCAGTGTCGCCATCAGAACCAACTCATAGCAGATCCTTCCACCAGTTTTCAGACTATAAATCACACAGGAGGACTGCCCGTCTTTCTCCCAAGAAGCAGCTGGCAGCACAACTTCTTACCCAGTAGGCCACTGAAGCTTATCAGCTACTATGTGCCAATTGTATTAGTTCTAAACATTCAAGCTTGTGTTTTCATCAATAATTCCTTCCTGAACACATCCACACTGTTATAAGAAGTCATCTTGTAACACCCATAAAGATCCCCATTGGGACTATGCTTCAGAAACCAAACCAGCTGAGTGAGTTGAAGGCACCCACTCAGAAGAGCTTAGCTGAGGGGGTGGCCTCTAACATCCTTCCTCCCCTCCCCATATGCCCATGGGAAAACCCCAAACCCAGCTCAGCCTCTGGCACTTTAAGAGCAAGGCAGGGCCTGCTCTCACCTGAGCTTTCTGACCCAATTACCAAGTCCTGCAACTGAAACCTCCTCATGGGGGCACAATTCACTGTGGCCACGGGAGGCGGGCTGGCAGATAGTGTTCAAGTCCTCCCCGCCCCCACATCTTTGGCCTTGGTTGTGGCTATTTTGCAGAAGCACGTTATGTTGCCGCAAATGACTGCAAATGTGTTTCTAAGCAGGGGCGTCAATTTAAAAAGTTTGCGGCAACGTGTTTAAACCATCACACCAAGGGGGACTTTTAAACAGAGGAGGAAATAAACATTCTCCCAAGGGCAAGTTCTACCTTCCCCTCCTTAGTCCTCACTGTACTAGAAATACAACCAGGGGAAGCGGAAAGGGGGCAGGTGTCGGTCCAGTGAGGGGCTTTTGACTTTGTTTCTGTTGCTATATTGGCAAGATATTTGTTTGTGCCTATTAGACATGAAAATCATCTCCTGATTTGATCATGGACTTTGAAGAGGGGGAAAGGATTATTTGAGCCACAGCTTAGTAAGAAAAAAATTCGGGCAACCTCAGGCCAAGACAAGTGATGAGGAGGAAACAGCAGCCACCCATAGAGATCAGTGATTAAGATCTAGAGCCCTGGTTCTCAGTGTTCTCCCAAGATGGTTCTACACCTGAGTGACCCCGCCTCCCAGCCCCATGGGAGAGAGCCCCAGTCGGTTCCGGCTCCTCCCTGCCCCAACGCCCTCACTGCCAACTTTCTCCAACTTTTCAAAGTCAGACAAGGCCTCCTCTCTCCACCATCAATAACTCAGGCTCTAAAAACAGGCAGAAAGGGGACATTAGAAGCAATTATAACCGCCAGCAGAGGAAAGGTTAATCATGCACATCCACAGAAAAGATTGAAGTTGTCAATGATTTCATTTTCTTTGGATCCACCATCAACACCCATAGGAACAGAAATCAAAAAAATCAAAAGATATTAAAAAAATTCAACTTCATTGGAATACTCATTATATCAGCATTACTTTTAAAAATTATTCAGAAAGGAAACCAAAGAAACTTTTTACTCCCCCACTGGGTGTTTTTCTTATTTTGTGACCAGTTGTATGAGATTTTATAAATTATGCTTTCAACACAACTCTTTATTTGTAAGTTAATTTATAATTTGAGCTGGGGTAAAGTTATTTTCCATAGAAAGTATATTACATGCAGAGAATCTTGTGAAAATAAACTTTGAGGTGAAGCTATTTCTGGCCTCCATTAAAAAAAGAAAGAGAGAGAGAGAGAGAGAGAAAGGAAGGAAAAAAGGGAGAGAGGGAGAGAGAGAGAGGAAGGAAGGAAGGAAGGAAGGTTGCATAGAGAAAATGTTCTGTCAAGGACCTCTTCAAAGTGCTAAAGAGCAACGATGCCAGCATAAAGACTAAGGCGTAGTTGATCCAATTGAAACTTTCAATTGAAAGTTAGGCAATAAATAAGGATGACAGAAGACAAATCCATGCCTTTGAATTGTGGTGTTGGAGAAGAATCCTGACTATTCTTTGCACTGCCAAAAGAGCAAACAAGTCTATCTTGAAGAGAGTGCAAATAGGGTACTCCTTAGAGGCAAGAATGGTGAAACTTCGTTTAATATACTTTGGACATGTCAAGTGGAACCAGTTCTTGGAAAAGAATATTCTGGGAAAGGTGGGGGAAAAAGATAGGAAGACCTTCAACAAAATGGACTGACACAGTGACTCTAACAATGGACTCAAGACTATTTGAGATTGAGAGGTCGGTTCAAGATAGGGCAAAGTTCATATCTGTTGTTCATGGGATCTCTATGAGTTGCAGTCGACTTGATGGAACCCAGTAACAAACAACACAGGCTGCAAAATTAAACAGCCAGTAATAATGATGTTTCTGAAGAATTTTTATTGGATTTTGGACAATATTTACAATAGAAAGCTAAGGAGAGCAATGCCCCATACAACAATAGGAGGCTTAGCGGGGTGGTGGGAGCACCACATAAGAGAGAAAATGCCCTCTTTTTTTTTCTTAAATTTTTATTGTATTATTTTTACGTGTACCATCAAATCAGATCTGACTGGTACAGACTGGCCCCCTCCTTCTCCAGCAGAGCATCTGGTGGGTTTGAACCCCGTACCTCTGGGATTGCAGTGCAGAGTCTTGCCACTAGGACACCAGAGCTCCCTTGGAATATGCCCTCTTAATAAAGTTTATTGTATAGCAGTACCACTATTTTGTAACACAAAATTGGAAATTTTAAAAAGGAAAATAGACCAACTTAAGAAGATGTTCATAATAGCTGGTGATAGGATGTTCGGTGATTTTTCAAATATGCTTCTGTACATTTTAGAAGTGAGATCTGGTGATGTGGTCAGTAGGGAGTTGTGCTCCTAATTCAAAGGTGGTGCCTCTTTAGTGGTTCAAATCCACCAAAGTTTTTGGGGGAGACAGCCAAACAATCTCTCCTGTGCAGTTTTTCAGCCTCTGAAAACTCACTGAAGAGCCAGCTCTGAGTTAGTTCTAACTCTCCAGCATACAGTTAAGAAAACAGAACCCTGGTGGCATAGTGTATAACATGCCCTACTGCAAACTGAAAGGTCGCCAGTTTGAATCCACCAGTTGCTTCCTGGGCAAAAGATAGGAGGTCCCTTTTGTAGAGATCTTTAGCCTCAAAAGCCAGATGGAGGACCCATGATCTGGACTCAACTCAGGGTGCTTGAGTTGGTGGTGAGTTTGGTTGGGTTTTCTTGGTTTGGTTTGGCTTTTTCTCTGGTATATATTTAAGGAGATACCCTGATGGGGCTGGAATTAGAGTATTTGGTTACTAACCAATAGTCAGTAGTTGAAACCCACCAGCTGTTCCACAGGAGAAAGATGAGTCAATCTGCTTCAAAGTTTTACAGCCTTAGAAACCCTATGGGCAGTTCAACTCTGTCCTACAAGGTCCCTACAGGTCAAAATCCACTTAATGGCTGTGGTTTAGAAGCTATAGCTATGTCTCACAATTTCCTACAATGAGTGTATTTCAATTTTTTTTTTAAAGGCACTAGAAACCTACAAGCATTCTCCTTTTTTAAACACAGAAAGATAAGACATTTCTCAAGTCAGAGTGTGCTCTACCAAAGTGCTCAATATTAAATTC